CTTGGTCCCGGCTCCGCGCCCGCCCGGCTGCCTGCGCTCTTTTCTCCGCGCCGTCCGCCGCGTCCCTCTGCGCCGGGATGCCTCCCAACCTCACCGGCTATTACCGCTTCGTCTCCCAAGAGAACATGGACAATTACCTGCGGGCTTTAGGTAACGCTACCCTCCCCATCACGCTCCCTCCCCGCTTTAGTTCTGCGTCTCCAAAAAGTTAAGAGTGGGAAAGAGGAAGGGACTTGGGAACTCTCTGGTCTTTCTGTCTCCTACCATCACTTCTGCGCTGGGGTAGTGGAGGAAAGGAGATTCTATGGCTGATGCTCCTCGGCTAAAAGAGTGGAGGAGCTCTACTGGAGGAGGGGCCCAGGTCGTCCACTCATCGCCCCTCTCTCTCCTCCTCTAGATATCAACGTGGTCCTGCGAAAGCTGGTCTGCCTACTGAAGCCGGACAAAGAGATCATCCACACGGGAGATCACATGGTCATCCGCACTATCACCTCCCTGCGGGACTACGTTATGGATTTTGACCTGGGAGTTCAGTTTGAGGAAGACCTGGGACCCGTGGATGGACGCAAGTGCCAGGTGAGAAACCCAAGCAATGAAGTTTCACGGAGGACTGGGGTGTACTAAAGAGCTCAGGGACTTGCTTGGTTTTTGGCTCAATAACCAGGTGAGAACCAAGCCCAGAGCCGGCATGCCCCTGCAGGTCCAGGAGTAAGTGGTTCTGTGAGTAAACGGCTCACTGCAAAGAGCCAGAAACCAGTTCTCTGAGATTCAGAGGATATTATCCTCTGGAGCAAAGCCCCGAAAAGATAGAATGTCAGCGCACTTGGCAGAACTCCGTTGTTGCACTTGGAAGCCAGAGGGTCATTCACCTCCCACAAAGACCATCTGTCCCGAGAAACCACTAAAGAGACACCAGATCAGGGGTTGCATTTGAAATTGTGTTGGAGAGGAGCAGCCAGTGTGGACGCTGGAAACACGTATCACCCCAATCCACTTGTCTCAGGACCTTGTCCTCCCCTCTCCTTCCTTGCAGACAACCGTCTCCTGGGAGGGGGATCAGCTGGTGTGTGAGCAGCTCGGAGAGAAGAGGAACCGAGGCTGGAGGCACTGGTTGGAGGGGGACCAGCTTCATCTGGTGAGGAGGGGTCCGGTGCAGCTTGCAGCATCCCAGTCACAGCGAGTGGGGGGAGACACGGTGTGGGTGCTGTTGGCTCTGAGCCAGCCCTGCAGTTCCCTTCCACCTTCTCTCAGCCTTCATTCCCGGCTCTGCGGGGGCAGCCACCGCTTCACACAAACATCCGCCTCCAGGGTTTAAAAGTTAAACTCAAAAGTTAAACAGCTCAACAACAAAGGCCATGTCCCTTCCCTGCCCCGCAGCCAGACCCGCAGGGGCTTTGGGAGGGTCGGCAGTGCATCAGCCTGCGAGGCTCCAGCCAGCAGCGGGAGGGCTGGCAGAACTGGCGAGAAACAGGAGGGGATCCAACCTAAACTCCTCTTTTGCCCTCCCTTTCCCAGCGCATGACTGCTGAAGACGAGGTCTGCGTCCAGGTTTTCCAGAAGGTGAAGTGAGCGCTCCCCGCAGAGATGCCCGGACGGCACCGGCCCTCCCCAGTGCGAGAAAGAAAAAGAAAACAAGAGCCGAGCCCCCCCGTAGCAGCGTGTTTTCTTGGGCCTCGCCCAGCGGGCAGCATTGGCCGGGGGTGACGGCCGGGCCGGCCGGG